CAATTACATTTAAACTCCAATGAGCCCGTATGCCTGTGTATAACGGATGGGTGGACAGATGAATGTGGGTATGTACACGATTGTGTGTGTGTTTGTGTGTGTGTGTGTGTGTGTGTGTGTGTTTGCGTGTGTGTTTGTGTGTGTCTGTATGCGCGTGCGCCTGATCTTCTTGTTAATGTTAATAGATTGCTGTGCATCTTTTTTTTTTCAACAATTCACCCCTCATCTGCGGTCCTCCTCGGCGTCATGTCTTACGTGAACAATGCTCTGGCGTCACTTCCAGTTCCTCTACACGTCGCTCATTTTGGTCTTGGCCTCTGAAGAGAAGTCATTGTTTGGGAAATGCGTCATAATAATTCCTACAATGACTCCATTGATAATTATCACCCGAACTAAATGCAACGATAAAGAAATCAACAAACCAGCTGTAAATATGTATTTGAAAGAACACGCAAATGACGACGTGGTGTCACTAAAATAGATTAGGACCGTCATCTTTTTGTTGATTTTTTAAAAACTGTTTCGGGGTCCAATAACTTCTGTTTTGGATAAGCCACATTCTGGTTTTGGTATAGCGGTGAGTTCTTCTGTGGTGTTAGCAGACTCCACGATCTCTTGTCCGCGTTTTAGCTATAATTCCAAGTCGCGTTCTTTTTTGTTTTGTTTTGAGTGAAGAGAAGCACAACGTCATGATACCGGCATTTGGTGAAGGTGAAAAGTGAGATGGGCATCGAAAAAAAAACAGTGGGAATTAAAAGAAAAAGGTCCTAGCCTACTACTACAAGTATCGACCTACATGCAGCCGCGTTCTTTGCGAAGTCACGAGGAAAACGTTAGTTATAAATTACTTTGGTGAAGAAGGTTACACCGGACTAACTATTGAAGGGGGGGGGGGTCGTATCATTTTTACGTTAATGTGGCCAAAAGAGGAATGTTCCTGCCCTATGTCAACAGTATAAAAATTTCTATAGTTACCAAATGAAAATGTTGAATTTCAGTAACGTTTCATTTTGTATGTGTATCTTGTGTTCCCCATTAGACCCACACAGCGTGTTTCCTGTTAAATACGTCCTCTTTGATGTTCATATTATATGGACGACATAGCCCGAGAAATAAGAATTGTTTCATTTCACTGTAGTTCTCGAAATGGGGAGGGGAGGATGGATATGAAGTTCCTTGTTCAATGAAAAGTTTACTCCCCTTTATCAGATTATACAGAAGCCATTACGCGCGGCCAAGTATTTCTTGATACCACTTTATCAGACAATCAGACTTATAGCCAGGCAGCTCCGCAGAACAATGAGTTACGATATGTAACATAACCACAATGTTTTGATAAAAATCACAAGCACAATATTATTATTATGATAAGATCATCGGGTTCTCTGTGGTTTGCACTTGGCATAGTGAGAAAAAATGGTAAGTGCTTGCCAAAATTTGTACGTAGCCTGTGGCAGTTAAAAGAATGGTCTGTGTGTGTGCTCGTTGGGGTCATCATACTTGTGTAAATAGAACGAGCTATATGAACGTTGAGGGGTTGCGCTTTTTATTTGTACGTGTGTAAAAATATATATCGTATATGTAATGGTAACAAGAATATATTGAGTGAATAAATTGTTATATTGTTTGTACAAAGCATAATTAGCGGTTTTTTTTGCTTTCTTTTTTAAAGCCATATTTACAATACTCCGACCTAAGCCCCTACCTCCATCTCGTCCTCATGAGCATTTCTTCATGTTCCCAAAACTTAGTTTTATCAACTTGTGACTCGCTCTTACTTAGCTGGGAAGATAATATGTAATCAAAACAGAAACAACAACAAAAACATGGGCTGCGTGAGGAAGTTTAAAGAAAATGTCTACAACGCTTACCTTATAATGGAGAGAAATGTTGGCTCCATATATAACAGAACATGAGAGGTTTCCGTGGAAGTAAAGACCTTTTTCAACTTTTGACTTTACACGTACATACGAGGGGCATACCAAAAGTTTTTACCTGACCATGAAGGAATAAAGGTAGAAAGCTGAAATGTGGTACTAACCTTA